AGCAACAGGAGGCCATAGGCAATTAACACTGCAAACTGAAAGGTTTAGAATCTTTGCACGACCTTTAAAGGGCAACGCAGTTGCCCATTCACATGCATGCAATTATAGAGTGACGAGTTCATAGCAGCAAAAAAAAGTAAAAATATAAAAATACTTAGTAAAATAAAACTTGCATTCATCAAAAGCTACTTTGAACTTTCCAGGCTTCACGTGGAGAGTAATCTTTATGTAGCACAAGGAGTCTTGTTTGGCTGATTGTCTTCATTTTGTCACAGGACTAAATTCAGCCTATCACCATAATTGCTAGAATGCAACCTTATCACATTATTGAATCTCTCTGTAAAGAGTTTCCAAAATCTACTGCATAAAACCACAGTATAAAAGAAGCAATATAAATATAAATTTAATTGGATGACTACATTTGTGCTATTGGTAGGGGAAAGGAAGATGTACCTTCACTAACTGGCCATTCAGGGGAGATCATAAAACAATTATAGCTACTGTGGAGTAACTTAGAAGACTAAAGGAAGTGATTAAAAAAGCTTTATCTAATATAAACAGATAAGCTTTTATTTTTTGTTATGTATCTCATACCCCATATAAAGCACTTTGAACAAAATGGAATATTCTCCTTATAGCTCATAGTTTTCATGTGATGTCCAAGCAAACTGGAAGTCATATTTTCCAATGGCAATACCAATCAATTGCCTAAATAGTCCACTGACTAGCTTGCCTATCATTACAGCACAGGAGGAAATCCAACATATCCATGTGGTATACACACACTAAGAAGGATTTTGGAAATCTGACATAAATTTTGAGTGTAATATCAGTATGCTTCTGGAAAATTTGTAGATATCATTTGTAAACCAGAATAGTATGTTCCAATGTAATGCGTAGTTTGTGTTTTGACTGTGAAGTCATATATTTAATAAAGATGGCATACAGATAAATTCAGTATTTAAACTATGTTGAAATTTCCAATTGTAGTGTCAATAAACACATCCAAAGTGTTCCTACATAGAGGGCAAAATTGATTTTTTTTTTTTTTTTGCATTTGTAGCCTAGCAAGTCCCTCCAAAAGAAAAATTGAAGAGAAAAATATACTGTATGTAACAGTGGCACAAATAGTGAAACTCAATTATAAACAACCTTGTTAACAATGGACATATTTGTACTGCAGGTTAAATCATACAATATAGTGAAAAACTATGTACCTAAAAATGTAAACTTTTTACAAAGTTGTTTTTGCCTCCTCCCTTAACACAAAACCAGTATTTTACATGGGTGTAATTAAAAGCATATGTATGTATGTGCATATATATGTATAGATAGAGATTACATATAAGGTAGATATGACAGAGAAATGTATTTAAATATTACTTTCTTCACATTCCAGTAAGTCTAAACATTTCTCTTAAAATTTCTGTAGGAATAAGTAGAAGACAAGAATTGTTAGTTTTATTTCATTGACAAGAACATTGAATCACTGTGCTAAATGGATAAAATCAGACCTTCTGAAAATTACCCAGTAAGTCAGTGACCAATGACAACTAAAAAACAGAAACTAACTTCTAGGTGTCTGCTAGGCCCACCTGTCTATCTCCCATTTCAGACTGTGTTCCAAACCTAAAGTAAAACTGTTCTCTAAAAAGACTCTTGATAACTCCATGTGAAATTATTCCTTCTCTTCCAATGGAATAAATAAATAGTTCAATGTGCTCCAAGTAGCTCAAAATAAAGTTAACCAAAGAATTTTCAGACAAAATGGCAAATTCACCATATTACATGGTATTATAAAATCAATGGTTCAAAAGCAAGATATATCATGTAAAATGTTGTGCAAGCATGTGGTCCAGATATGAGGTTGATTCAGCTGGTTTGGCCTTCATATCTAGCAGCAGCCATGCTAATAACATTTCTTCTCCCTGTTTTGATGGAGCCCTACTAATAACAGGTTAATGAATTGTATTTGTAAATGTCAGGCATGGATCAAAGGGGACTACGTTGGATGCTTATTTTACTTCAGCTTATGATTTTTCACCAAGAAAAGAAAACTGCATTGCACAAAGTTCCTTCTTTTTGCTTGAATCTTCAATGAACAAAACAGCTGCAGAATAATGCGACTTAATGAGGCATCCCTAATAAAATATTGCAGAAGTAAAAGCAGGGGCACTGAACTGTTTGCACTCCGGTTGCTTCATCTTTTCAAATATTAGAAATAACTAATGACACTTGGGAACATTCCTTGTTTGGGACATGCATTAAAGAGTTCATCAGTAAATATGTTCATCAATTTGCAGCCACAGCTGAACTTGGGCACCATCTGACAGTACCTTTTCTTAGGGCCTGAGATAAGAAATGTCTGGAAAATGCTAGAGAGGCACATCTTACCCTTCCTGTGTAGAGTAATCCATAACCTGCAATTAGTGCTAAATCAACCCTAAAATGTACTTGTACATTTTAACACAAAAATATATTTTAAAATGGTCATCAAAGTGCTATATTGAAGATACTGGATCTAGGACTACTAAAATTTTCTGATAAGGTATAAAATAATTTTTATGAAATTTTCTATCACACCCTAAGTTTCATCATTTTATAAATTTTTAAAAAGGAAAAGTGGCCATGTCTAAAAACAGATCTTTTTACAGCCATGTCATCAAATTTTATAACTTGGTGGTTAGTTAATATTATAATGCAGTCTCTAAGCAATATGTATCTATCTGGGCACAGATCTATAGGCATCTCAATGAATCTTCATTCTCCAATTTGTCATTGTTAAAATAGCTAATATTTTTCTGATTCAACATCACACATGCTCAGAAACCTTAATTCCTCTCTAGCCTAACTTGTAGCATGATATAGGTGTTTCCTTTAATGTCAAGATTTTTTGGTTCTTCTATAAGAGACACATATCATAGCACTATACATAAATATGCAAGCATCCTAAACTACTAAATTTTTTAAAGGCAAGAAAAGAACCAAGATTTTAATCTACAACATGTCTAATTTGAATAAAGCAACACATTGCAACTATGTTTGCCTCTTAAAAGACTACCTGTGCCTAAGTAGTCAGTTGGCCGTGGCATTGCCTTCATAGTCTTACACTATCGATAAATAATGCAACCCAATTGTTTTCATTGAAAATTAGGAAAATGAAAATAAAATAAGCTCCAGTGTGGTTACTGATGGCCTTTAAGTGGTTACCGATGGCTTTAAAAATTAGAATTCTAAAAAGGTCAACCCAAACAATTGACTCAGGATGAGATTCAGAACAGAATAAAGTAGAAAAAGAGACAAACATGTCAGATTGGTTATTTAAAATATAGGATGTTAGGTGTCAATTTTGAAATTGCAAATGATTCAACAGTCTAAGAGTACATTTGCAAACATGGAAAGGCTGGAGTAACATGAAAATAATCTTAAAACTGGTTTTTAAAAGCTTTAGAAGTGTTTTTAATCCCCTTTGCTAGTTATTTTGGTTTAGCACTTTACACAGAAATCTTAATTACTCATTTGTCTTAACTTATATTGCCTAATAGAGCAGTTTTAGAGTGTTAATTGATAACAGTCTGAATGTCGATGTCTAAAACAATCTTGTTCAGAAGACAGGAACCAGATAATTATCATCCAGTCAATAGCCACTGAAATTCATCTTGTCCTGAGTGAAGGACCCTAGTACATTAAAGTGCTTCAGGGGCACTTTTCAGAGTAAAGGTTGCAAACAGGTTTGAGGGTTTGGTGGGGTTTTTCTCCACAAACAATTCTGTAAAATTCAAGAAGAGATTTCACACTCACAGAACGAGAATGTTTTCTTTTCTGGCTTACTGCCACAAGCCAAACTCGCCCAGCACAAGGTGAAAAGAGGCTAGCCGCTATAGTAACATAACTACACATTTGATTCCAAACGCTTCAGGCAATTGTTTAACGCTCTGTCAGGAGGTGGAATACTGAATAGTCTACCCGAGGGCTCTTCGAGCACCTATGGTTCGTCCTTTCAAGTGCAGACTGGAAAGCTCAACCTACAGTTCTGGAAGAAATAGGGCGAAGGATCTCAAACTTTTCCTTTGCAAAGGCAGTTTCTAGAAATAACACGTTCCCCACTGGTAAGTGAAGATCAGTAGCCTAAAGAAAATACTTCTTGGTAGGCATCTGGCCTTTCAAAATAGAAGGGGGAAGGGGCAGTAGGGCGGAAAAACCGCATACTAGTAGCAAGATTTGAGAGACATCTATCCGGAAAGAAATTAAAAATCATTAGTTTCCCAAAGCCGTTCTTTTTCTGAACGCTGGTCGTAAAAGGATCCTTTACCAAAGCTCTCTCCTCGTGGCTTTTACAAAAGCTTTATTTCACTCAGTAATAAAGCGTCCGTTCCCAAATCTAAACAAATCTTTAAAGAGATGAGGCTCAGGAACTTATCAGAATGATTCTTTATGAAAATAGTTAGAGATGGAGAAATCAATAGTCTCACTGAAACGCCCACCCTCTGCAGACAGGCCTGAGAATTAACTAATCAGAAGTGGACACAAAGTAGGGATTTCAGAGAGGCGACCTGACACATCCCACTGATCCTCCCTGGAATACGACCCCCCAACTCCTTATTAGGAGTCCAAAATGGTTACCGGCCGGAATTGGTCCGGGTGAGGAATCAAAGTAAAACCCACTTCAATCCTCTACCGGGTCGCTTGCTGTGTTAGGAGAAATGGGGCAGAAAAGAGAGGGAGGGCACCGCTCCCGGAGCCTCCTGTCGCCCGCTCGGATCCCCTCTCGGCGTCCCTCTGCGCCTCCCTTACCCGGACCGCCGGCAAGGGGGTCGCTGGCTGCTGGGCCGGCACCTACCCTCACCTCTCGCCCTCCCCGGGAGAAGCCCCTACAGCCCTGGGCTCCCGAGGACGGGGAGGGGAGACGTGTGCCCACAGGGGTTCTGGGCCCGCGGTCCTCCGATCGCCGCTCGCGTCCCCAGAGCCGGCCGGCTACCCGAGGCGCGGCTCGCACCTACCTGCAGCACGGCTTCCCGGTGGCGGCAACACCTAGCGATGCTCCTGCAGCTTCCGCGGGCCGGCGCCAGCCTTACCGCTCTTGCATCGCTTCCAAGATGCCAATCCGCCGTCACCATCCAGGGGCATAGGGAACCGAAGGCTGGTGCTGTGTGCTCGTGGAGGGCGTGTGAGTGTGCCCCTGAGCGTGCGAGTGTGCGCGCGCGTGTGTGTGTCCTCCTCCGATGGCAAAGAGGGATCGGGAATCTCTTGACATCCGAATGTGAACCCCCTAAAGCAGCTGGGGAAGATGGAGTGCGCGCGCCAGATCTCTTTTCCCCCTCTCTTTATTCCACACTGTCAAAGTAATCAAAAGATTTGTTTACTGAGGCAACGCCAAAGTCCCGAAGCCCTCGGCCGCCCGCTGTCCGCGCCGGGTGCGCGCGGTGCGCTCAGCTCCCCCGACTGCGAGAATCAAGGCGGTCTCGCTGCAATCACCGCTCTTCTTCCATCTCTGATTTGTTTGCTTTTAACGCCGAGGAAAGACTTTTCCGCCCGCCTCACGCTGCCTCTCCCTCACACGCACACACTCTCGCACGTCCTCTGTTCCCTCTCTCCCGCCCGCCCTCTCGTTCTCTGGGGAAAGGCAATTGGACGGAATGATTCACCTTCAGGGAAGCAGCCTCCGCCACGCACTTCCCGAGCTCCCCGGCTCTCGCAGGTCCCGGGTCTCCGCTGTGGAGGAGTCGCGTGGGGCAGGAGAGGCTCTGAGCCCAGCAGACGTCTCCCCGCAGGACGCTCGTGTTCCTCGGTCCCGGTGCCCGCGTTCCCGCGGTCCGCAGACAGGTCCCCGCCGGTGCCCTCTCGGAGACTTTGCGCCGTCAGCTCGAGCCCGCTTAGCAGCAGCTCCCGGCCGGCTGCAGCCGCTCAATGCCGCCTTGCAGCGCTGCGGGCAGGGCTCCCCGCAGCCCACCCGCGGCCCCTCTAGGCATCATGGGCCGCCAGGCAGGGAAACCCGCGCGGTCCCCCGGTCACCAGTGCCCTGGCACCGTCTCCACCGAGAAGGTGCGAGTCCCAATATCGAACACAAGCGAGCAGGTGTCGCCTGTGTCACCTCGCTAAAGGCGGGAGGGGAGAAAAAAGGGAGGGAGGAGGGGGCTGAGGAAACAAATCCAAACCACCAGAGGAGAAAGAAGCCGTTTGGCAACTAAAGCCTCCTCTCCGCGTCCCACGCCAGGCGCTGTACTGTCAAAAGACACTGACGGTGAGCTTTCAGAAAGTCACAGTAAAGGCAGAACCCCCTGTTCCACTCTAGAACCCTGTTCCACCCAGCCTGGCTGTCCGGGCAGTATGGAGTGACCGGCCCCCGCGCATCGCGCAGAGCGAGTGCAGGGAGAGAATAGGTCCTGACTCTCCAGGTTGAGGTGAGCAGTGAAATGGGATGGCAGGACCAGGCGGCGTTGCCTGCCTCCGTCTCTCTCCCGACGGCCAGTTCTGCTAGCTCCGGCAGCTGCTGCTGAGAGCAAACAACTGTCCTGCAGAAAAAGAAGAGACAGTAAAAAAAAAAAAAGAGGCGGATATTGGTGTAAAAGCTGGACTATGTCTCCCTCTAGAGGGAGAACCGAGTTAGAAAGCTTTACTGGATATAACTAGAATTCCAATTTCTCCACAAAGAGAAAGACAGTATATGGTTTCAGAGAATTTTGCATTTTTACAAATTACAACTTCTGATGGATTTAGAGGGAAGATTGCACTGCAGCCCTATGTAAGTAAAGTCCTTGCTAAAGGATCTTTAGGATATTTACAGAAATTTAATAGCGCCACCCTGGAAGATCACATCCTTACATGTTTGGTCAAATAGGGTGTTGGTTTAAGCAGCGTGCATATGAGCTCAAATGAAGGGTCTTTTTAGGCTCACCTTGATCGTGTTTGGTAATGAGCAAAGCCTCAATGTAGTGATTATTGTAGAAGATTATTCAAAAATGAATAAATATTGAAAATGGATTGAGAAAAAGAATATCTGAAACTAAGAAAGAGAATGCTGACCCAGGAAATTTATGGTTCCTTACAATGAGGGATAACCAAAAGATCTTGTTTTGGAACCAATATTCATACCTCTTATTCAACTAGACTAAGAATTATCGAGATAGCTTGATTCCTTCCAGCTCTAAAGTTTTGTGCTTTTGTAGCTCTAATTCACTGAAACCATTGACAAACTAGGTATCACATGCTCTCTTCACCAGCTCTAAAATAAAGGTAATATTAGTTACAAATAAACACAGAACATACGCTTCACTTAGGGATTTTATCTTAACATGTTTAGTAATTCAACTGTATTTCGTATCTAAAAGACATGAAGTCATTTAATTAAGTTGAGGAGGTTGTTTAATAAAAGATAACACTACAGATTTTATAAGGTTTGGTTACTTCAGCCAAGGTCAAGCCAGGGGACCTAGAATATTTAGAAATCAAAATATCTAAAATAAAATATTCAGATTTTGTGAACTTACTATTTGAATTGAGGGTTTGCTTTCAAAATGTTTCTGTATATTTAAAAATTTAAAATATGTATTCAAGTTATAATTAAACACTTTGAATTTTTGGAGTTCTATTTTAACTTGATAATTTAATTTAGTATAGGCTTAAAGAAAAAATTTATTTAAAAAATAACTGAGACTAATTGAAGTCATTTAAAACAAGGCATCAAAACTAAATAATGCAAGTTTTACTATTTTAACTAATTGTACTATAGTAGACGAGTTGGTCTACTACATGGCAATCATTTGTTTCCAAGGTACCCTCAAATGGTCTCTTTCAAATGATTCATGTCATGTGATCAAGGCTTATTTCATTCCACTTACATAGTAACTTACTTCCTTCAGGAGCAGAGTTTACATTTTAAAACACCTGACACTTCCTTTGCAAATCTTACAGTAATTTTCTGTTTGCTGTGTTAAATAGTGGGGTGGAATCTGAGCAGGAATGACATTGGAAACCTGGACCCCGTAGTGGAGGACAAGCCACTTACAAAATCATCCTAGAACATTGATTCTCCTTTTTCACAAAACAATATAAAGCATTCATTATAATCCTTCTAGCTTCTAATTCATTAGCTCTTTGTGGTTGTAGGAAAATCTATAATTTTATCATATTGTTAAAACTTAATTTTTATTGGTTAAGTGTAGAACATTTTCATCCTTATTTTCTTAATTAAATCCACTATGTTCTTACAAACATATGAATAATTTATTAAAGTGAATAAATGTCTAAATTTTTTTTGCATGGGAGAGGTCCTTCTGGTAAGGACCAGAAAAACTGCTAGACAAATTCTAAAGGAGCTGTAACACAAAATGTATAAATTAATCTCAAAATATAACAGAATTTCTGATGCAAAGTTATATGATGCTGACATTCTGTAATAACTTTGGTGCATTTTGTAAATATCTAGATAAATCATTCCCAATAATTTTTAGATCAAGGTATTCCCATTTCTAGCACCTCTTAGATTTTGGAACAAAATCTTTTGCATTCTCTTCAAAGGGAAGAGAATAGCAAATACTCCCTTAGTTTAATAGAAATCTTGAGTTGATAATTCTTAGCATCTACAGGCAGAGATGTGGCAGGTTCAGTTCCAGACCACCACAAATACTGCAATAAAGCAAGTTACACAAATTTTTTGGTTTCCCGGTGCATGTAAGAATTATATTTACACTATATTGTAGTCTATTAAGTATGAAATAGCATTATACCTTTTTTAAGAGTATATATCTTAATTTAAAAGTACTTTATTGCTAAAAAATGTTAATGATCATCTGAGCCTTCAGCAAGTACTACTCTTTTTGCTGGTGGAGGGTCTTGCCTCAATGTGGAATGGCTGATGACTGATCAGGCATATGGTTGCTGAAGGTTAGCTATGGCAATTTCTTAAAATAAAACAACAATGAAATTTGGTTCACTGACTAACACTTCACAAAAGATTTCTCAGTAGCACGCAATGTTGTTTGATAGCATTTCGCCCACAGTAGAATTTCTTTTAAAATTGGAGTTAGTCCTCTCAACCTCTGCCACTGTTTTATCAGCTAAGTTTATGGAATATTCTAAATCATTTATTGTCATTTCAACAGTGTTCACAGCTTCCTCACAAGGAGTAGATTCTATCTCAAGAAACTGCTTTCTTTGCTCATCCATAAGAAGCAACTTCTCATCCATTCAAGTTTTATCATGAGATTGCAGCAATCCAGTCACATCTTCAGGCTCCACTTCTAATTCAAGTTCTCTTGCTATTTCCACCACATCTGCACTGACTTCTTTCACTAAAGTGTTGAACCCCACAAAGTCATCCATGAGGGTTGGAATCAACTTCTTCTAAATTCATGTTGATGTTGATATTTTGACCCCCTCCCATGATTATGGATGTTCTGAATGGCATCTAGAATGGTTTCTCTTCAGAAGGTTTTTAATTGACTTTTCCCAGATCCATCAGAGGAATCACTGTCTGTGGTAGCTGTAGCCTTACGGAATGTATTTCTTAAATAAGACGACTTGAAAGTCAAAATTACCCCTTGGTCCATGGGCTGCAGAATGGATATTGTGTTAGCAGGCATGAAGACAACGTTAATGTCCTTGTACATCTCCATTAGAGCTCTTGGATGACTAGGTGTAATGTCAATAAGCAGTAATATTTTGAAAGGAATCTGTTTTTCTGAGCAGTAGATCTCAACAGTGTGAATAGTAGGCTTAAAATCATTAGTAAATGATGGTATAAACAGGTGTGCTGTCATCCAGGCTTTGTTTTTCGATTTGTAGAGTACAGGCAGAGTAGATTTAGCATAATTCTTAAGGGCCATAGGATTTTCAGAAAGGTAAATGAGCATGGGCTTCAACTTAAAGTAACAAGTTGTATTTGCATTAGCCACTAACAAGAGAGTCAGCCTGCTCTTTGAAGCTAAGAAGCCAGGCATTGACTTCTCTCTAGCTATGAAAGTCTGAGATGGCATCGTCTTCCAACAGAAGACTGTTTTGTCTACATTCAAAACTTTCTCCATGTCAGCGATTAGCCTGTTTTATTTTCTTATCATTTGTGTGTTCACTGGAGGAGCACTTTTAATTTCTTTCAAGAACTTTTCCTTTGTATTCACAACTTGGTTAACTTTTGATGCAAGACACCTAGATTTCAGCCTATTTCGGCTTTCAATATGCCTTCCTCACTGAGTTTAATCATTTCTAGCTTTTGATTTAAAGTGAGAGAAATGTGATTCTTCCTTTCACTTGAACACTTAGAGGCCATTGCAGGATTATTAGCTGGCCTAATTTCCATATTGCTGTGTCTCAAGGAATAAGAAGGCCAAAGGAAAGAGAGAGAGAGAAGGGAAAAGCTAGTTGATGGAGCAGTCAGAACATACATAACATTGAAGGGTTAAGTTCGCCATCTTATATGGGCACAGTTCTTGACACCTCAAAACAATTACAACAACAATAATACCAAAATTCACTGATCACAGGTAACCATAACAGATATAATAATAATAATGAAAAAGTTTGAAAAATTGCAAGAATTACCAAAATATGACACGGAGACACAAAGTGAGCACATGCTATTGGAAAAATGGCACCAATAGACTTGCCACACACAGGGCTGCCAAAAACTTTCGACTTGTGAAATAAGCAATATCTGCGAAGTGCAAGCATAATAGGACAAGGTATGGGCCAGGCTCATACCAGTAATCACAGCACTATGGGAAGCCAAAGTGGGAGGATCGCTTGAGGCCAAGAGTTCAAGACCAGTCTTAACAACATTGTAAGACTTGTCTCTACAAAAAAAAAAATAAGAAAAATTACCCTGGTGTGGTGCGCATACCTATAGTCCCAGCTACTTGTGAGACTGAGGAAGGAGGATCACTTGAAGTTCCAGCCCAGAAGTTCAAGGCTTTAGTGAACTACGATCACACCACTGCACTCTAGCCTGGGTGACAGAGTAAGACCCTGCCTCTAGGAAAAAAAACAAAAAAGACAAGGTATGGGATATGGTTGTATTTGTTTAAACTGCCTAGCTCCTCAAGTCTAAGCAGTAAAATGTAATCTTTTTTTCCACTGTAAACAAGGTGTTTATTGAAACAACAAGACATTCAACTTAAAGGAAAAACTATCTAGGATTCATCTTCTTTTTAGAAGTAATTTATCCCTACTTAAAGACAGATTGCCCTACATGTAACAGCTATGTACAAAAAAGTTATAAAAATTATCCTTGGTTTTACAATGATAAATGAAAAAAACATTAAAATTCTCCAACTGAACAAAGTATGCAAGGATTTTTATGTTGTTGTTTTCTTTTTGTTAAAACAGTGAGAGCAAAATAACATACTGGAATATAAAGATAAGAGCTGAATGAACATGCCACTAATGGAGAAAGGGGGCAATTTCACAGAACCAGTATTTTCCCCATCCCATCTCCACTTGATGTTAATCAAAACATACCATTGGACATTTAGTTGAAAAAATGCAATATGCTACTGCACATACATGAGTTACTTTGTGTACAATAAAGGAATGGGGAAGGGGAAAATGAAAGAATAGAGAAAACTATAATGCAGTAGTCAGGATGTGGTGGAACCAAATTGCATTCTTCTAATTGCGAATGTAATCTCAGTTTGTAAGAACAGAGTTCTGGAGTAAAGTAGCAGGCTCCCTTTTTAGTGGACACCTCCTGTCTGCTGTTGGAACACATCGGTTGTAACTTCATCCTCCATTTCTAACTGTGCAGGTGTGTCTGTTTCATTGATTGGCTGCTCATCAAATCGGAATCCGATCTGCCTCATTAACAAACCCTGTCGTTCACAATAGGCTTTCATTAGTTTACTAAGTGGTGTATGCCTCTTAATCTTAAAATGCACCACAAAACCATCCTGTCCTACCACCTTCGAGTTAACGTGATTGTTGGTCTCAGTATTAATTCCTTCCTTAGGCTTTTCGTCTGCCATGGTGAGCGCTGGAGTCTCCTCAGCTGCTGCTTCACAAAAGAGGTACCAGGTCCACAGCGAACCAGCACACCAGCACACAAGCACCACCAGGAGCCAAAATAATAATAATAATAATTTCTTTAAATGCTGAACTTAACTGGATTGTAACCCTACCATAGCTCTCCATGTTTGCGGGCTTACTAAAATATCACTTTGGTGCATTTCAAGTTCTTTTTTCCTTTTTGCCTTTTTAAAAAAACTACTTTATTGAAGTATAATTGATATACAATTGACTGCATATATTTGAAGTGCACAATTGGATGTGTTTTGACATATGCACACATCCCTGAAACCATCACCACAGTCAAAATGCCAGAAATTTCCATTCCCCCAAAAGTTGCATCATGCCCCTTTGTAATGCATATCTTCTTCCACTCCTGTCCCCAGCATCTACTGATCTAAATTCTTGTCAGTATAATTTGCGTTTCCTGCAATTTATATGAATTGAATTATATATTATGTATTCTTTTTGGTCAGGCTTTTTTCCATAAGCATAATTATTTTGAGAACATATTGGTGTTGTTTTATGTATAAATAGATTATTCCTTTTTATTTCTGAGTAGCATTCCATATTGTGGATATACCACAATTTGCTTAATGGACACTTGGGCTACTTCTTGTTTTGAGATATTACAGATAAAACTGCTTTGAACTTCTGTGAAGAAATCTTTCGGTGGAGATATGTTTTCATTGCTCTTGAGTTGACACCCAAGAATGGAAAGGCTGGATAGTGTGGTAGAGTATACTTAACTTAAAAACAAAAAGTGTATTCCAAAGTTTTTGTGCCATTTTACATTCCCATCAGCCATGGTGGAATAGTTCCTGGGGCACTTCCAGCTTTCTGCTAAAGGGTTTATATGTTATCTCAACTCCTTATCTCAAATCCTCACGACATCCCATAAAGTAGATGATATAAGCCCATTTTACACATTTAAAAAAATGAGACTAATTTGCCTGTCATTAAGTGGTGGAGATGGCAGTCAAACCACATTCACCTAAATCCAAAACCAGCCTTTGGTTTTTGATTTGGTTTGGGTTTTGGTTTTTTTGTTTTGTTTTTGTTTTTGTTTTAACCCCCTGGCCTCCTCCTAGCTACCCAGAACCTCAACCACTAAAACACGCTATTAATATCTCCTGTATTACAGGGAGATCAAAATCATTTGGACCTAGACACAGAAAAGTCTTTAGCCAGAGAACTTGAGCCCATTAGTAAGAATAGAAAGATGTTATTAGTGGGAAAGGCAGAGTAAGAAGAAAGATTACCAGCTCCACTCAGTGTTCTGCAAGGCATTAGTGTATTAAAACAAATGAACCAAAAATTCTGATTCCTAATGCGTAAGTGAAGAAGAGTGCCACCTACAAGCCATCTAACCCCGCTTGTCTCCTCTAGTTTTATATTTTTGGTGCTAACCAACTTATTTCTATATTTTGCAATAATTTCTCTCCCACTTATCTTTTAAGGATTTTTTAATGTTTCTTAAAAAACATTGACAGAATGTTTTCATGTAATCAGGTAAACAGAGGGAAGCACAGAATTCATTCCACATATCGCAAAGTGACATGCATGTTATTAATTTTTAGTATCCCCATCACCTAGCATAGCACCTAACATACAATAAATATTCTAGAAATATTAATACTTTGTGATAAATAATCAGCAAAGCAAACAGGCCAAGTGAGCAGACAGACAATGCCATGGAGATAGTCAACAAAGATACTAGATACTCTACAAAGTGGTATGAGAAAGAATGAGGTAGAAAAACCATCCTATATGAAGTAGGCAAGTGTAACAAACCACCCCAAAACTTAGTAGCTTAAAAAAGAGTATTTATTTAGTTCACATTTCTGTGGCTTGGCAATTTGGGTTCAGTTCAGTTGGGCTCAGCTAGGAAGATCTTCTGGATTGGGTTGGGCTCACTCACTCAAGTGTCTGTGGTCAACCAGCAGTGTATTTATTGCCTCACTCGTTACCTGACAACAGCTGACTATAAGCTGGACTGTTGGGGATAACTAGGCCATATGTCTTTTATCATCTAATGGAGCAGTCTAGCTCTTTAACATGGAAAGCAGATTCAAGGACACCTATCTTGGGTAAGAGCAAGAAGTTAGTCCAAAATATCAAGTCTCTGGACTTGCTGCTATTATTAATTTAAATGATTCAGTCTGTCCAGCAGCTTTCACCAGTACAATGGAACATGTCCCCATAATTCTTTGTCTCTCTAGAAAGCACAAATTTTCCAAGATTTAATATATCTAAATACTTTAAATATCTTTGTAGAGGACACTTTGGGAACGGTTTCTTGTTGCTTTTCTCAAAATATCCCTGGAGCTTGAATGCAACTCCAGGGCACCCTTATCTGAAAACAGTAAGGGCTAGAGAGTTCAGGATGAAAACATCAGCTCACCAGAGACGAAACAACAAGGAACAGGGACGTGTTGAGTCGGGACAGTGTGGGAACAAAGAAATTGCGGTGGGACAGTTGCCAAACAGGCTGTGTTAAAAATAAACCGCTATGGCAAGAAATTTGCTGCAGTCGTGTACCGTCTTTATGTGTGTCTGTGTCTTTTTGTCTCTGTGTTCATTCCTCGGCCCCAAGAAACGGGCCACGTCAAGTGGCGCATTGAGCAGGGTCTGCGTCATTCGGGACCGAGGAACCGGAGTGGGACCTCTTTGGCATAAGGTAAGTGGCAACCAACAGAGGACCTCCGGCATTGTGTGGAATTCCCCTTCAGCTGCGGAACAAGAATATCGAAAGTTAGTTCAGGGACTTTTACACTCAGTAGGAGTGGAAGCTAAAGATACTACTTTAAAGCAATTATTTGACTTAGTGCAACAACATTGCTATTGGTTTCAGTTTCAGTCCCAAGTTCAGTTAAATTTGTGCAGCTGGCAACAAGTTGTTAAAGCTTTTCGTGTAGCCCACCAACGAGGCAACACGGTTAATTTAAAAATTTGGACTGTTTGTAGTGCCATAACTCAAGCGCTACAGCTTTTAGAAACTGACTCGGAGAAAGCTGAGTTGCAGAATGGGGAGGAACTGGATGATTACAATCCCCCTCCCCCTGAGGAGATCCCAGAGGTGACTCCTCCAATAGGTAGTCAGGAAGGGGTTAACTCTCTATCCCCTAACACTGAAATAGCAGAATTTATTGCCTTATTGAAGAGGTGTTTACCCTCTATTGTTACTAGCCCCACAGCCCCGACAGTGCCTGCCTCTTTGCCGCCACCGCCCAGCCACCAGTCCCACCTGCAGGGGCTTCTTTTCAGATACCTAATAGCTCTAATGACCCAGATAACAATCTTCCTTTGCCTCCTGACTTTTATGATAATCCCCCTTTCCTCCCTCTGGCTGGTACTACTTTCGCTTTCCCTATAGTACGCAGCCTTTCGGCCCTGGTGTTGATCCACAGTACCCGAACAGGGGACAGCGTGTTACTTATCATGCCCTTCAGTATAAATTCCTAAAGGACTTGAAACAAGCCGTCCAAGCTTATGGTCCACAGTCCCCTTTCATTCATGGTCTTCTGGACACCTTTTCTAGTGAAAACATTCTTATACCCTTGGACTGGGAGAATATTGGTAAAACAGCCTTAGAAGGCCCCCAGTGGTTGCAATTACGCAGCTGGTGGGTGGAGGAAGCTAGAATTCAAGCACGACTCAATGCACAGCGGCGACCTCCGGGTCCCACGGAGGAGGAGCTTACGGGGACGGGACAATATGCTACCCTGGCCGCGCAGGCGGCCATGGAGGACCCAGCCTTAATGCAGGTGAGGTTAATTTTTCTCAAAGCATGGAGAAAAATCGAGACCTCAGGTCAGTCTGCGCCATCCTTTGTAAAGACCTTGTAGGGTCCCACAGAGCCCTATACTGACTTTCTGTCTCGCTTGAAAGAGGCAGTCCTCCGTGGGGTGGGAAGTTCTGAAGCTGCCTCCCTTATTCTGCAATCTTTGGCTGTTGAGAATGCCAATCCAGATTGTCAAAAGATTCTCAGGCCTCTGAAAGCTAGTGGCGGGACATTGGATGAATATGTGAGAGCCTGTGCTGGGGTTGGTGGCGCTGCTTATCATGCTTCTTTGCTGGCTGGGGCTATTCAAAAGGGGTCTAATAGGCCTGTCCGTTATAATTGTTGCAGACCTGGCCATCTCCGTGAAGAATGCAGAAAGAAAGGCGGGGCTTTGTCACATAAACCTCAAAAGCCTCCTCCTCCGGGGATTTGTACCCATTGTGGAAAGGGGCCTCATTGGGCCAGCGAGTGTCCCTCCAAAACTGATAAGAATGGAAATTCTCTGCCACCTCTGAGTAAAGACCAACCGTCAGGAAACTATTTGCGGGGCCCTCAGTCCTGGAGCCCCCCAAACAACAATATGGGGCTTCAACAGTATCCAGTGAGCAATGGCCTTGCACATCAACAGATCAATCTTTGAAAGTTACACAATTGTATGCTGCTACCTCTGGGAGCGCAGCTGCCAATCTGGCGGTCGCTAGGACCTATACCTTAACACCTCCTGGGGGTGTTCACAAATTATCCACCCAGGTATATGGTCCCCTTCCAGAAGGTAAAGCGGGTTTGATCATTGGTCGTAGCAGCAGTACTGTTAAAGGTATCTTCGTTCATTTGGGAGTTATTGATTCAGATTATATTGGGGAGATACAAATTATGGTTTCAGTTTCTCATACAACTCAGATATACACTGGAGATCGTATAGCTCAATTACTTTTACTGCCCTACATTCCTTTTGCTGTACACAATGTTGAAAGAACCGGTGGCTTTGGTAGCACAGGTGATAAAGTTTTTTGGGAGACCCTGATTCAAGATACTCACCCCGTTTTCACATTGACTATTGCTGGTTGCCAATTCAAAGGTTTGGTGGATACTGGTGCTGATGTTTCCATCATCAGCCTCTCTCAATGGCCTTCTGATTGGCCCAAAACTATTGTCCCTACAGTCTTATCTGGCTTA